GAATATACGACTCGATCCTTGCGCTTTGCAACAACCCATGACTAGTAGGGTACATAACAGGTTTGTAGGCTCGGCAAGTATGTGCAGTGTTCATGACTATTCGTATCGTAGAGCTTGAGTGATATTGAAAGACGGATGGAGAGGAGGTTCAGGTTTAAAAGCCGTGATTTGGGCTGTTTGGCTTCAGCGTCTAAGCTCCCCCTCCGGGCCGGCAGCATCTCCAGACCTTCAGAGTGCCGGTCCAGCAATGTAATTTTGAAATCAGACTGAGACTCTGCGTTCGAGCATCATATTCTCCGGGCCCTGCTTCACCTAAATCATTTATTACTCAGCAGATGGGGTCCTTGGGCCAATATGACCATCCGCTGAGCCAAAAACCCAGCCCATGAAGCCCATCTCGACAAAGGCTCCCTGAGGTTTGAATCAAATTTGAAAAGATCGAGGTATGTCGGTCAACCTCGTTGCACAGCCCAAACCATGGAAAATTCACGTGAAGTAGCACCCAGGATGACTCAACAGCTCGCTATTGCTTTCATTCGATAGAACGAACGTATGAATCTGCTATCTGAGTGAACTTTAGACAGCTTGTGAGTTGCGGGCCTATAAAATCAAGTACAGAGGTACGGGGACGCCGTTTGTATGCATCCCCACAACGTCTCGAAGTTAACATCACCCGAGACTTACCGGCGACAAAATAGCAAACACCATAATCACACTTGTATCATGTATTTATGTAGAACCCTTCCCTAACCTCTCAACACCGTCAGGCGTCTCACAGATATTCTGAACAGTGACTCCTTGCACCGGAACTGCCAGGAAAGAACTATGCCATTTCTACCCTAACCCTACAGCTCGTTTGCTTCTCTTCCTTCGCAGTACGCACCACTGCTGAGTAGAGCGAGGTTGCGCTCCACGTCTCGGGAGATGCGATTATAGGGTCATGGAAGGCATTATTTACCACATCACTAGGTTGACTCCATCGGGCGACTTGGGGCGCAACGCTACAGCCACCACGACAATGCTCGTGATTGATCGATAGATCCTCGAAACTCGAGTTCGAATTTGACTAGATAGCACTCATTTGCAGGGCACATGCCACCCCCTGTGCGGTTGGTCCTCAATATTAAGAACCTAAGATAGTTCAGAGTTTCAGAACTAATCGCAAATCGGAGAGGCCGCAGTGCTGAGCGAAGTACCAGGAATCCAAACAACCTGTTCGCGGAGCTATGGATTGTGACGGCGCATACTGGGGTATTTCAATCAATTCGTATATCACGCGTCACAAGCCCCTCCATATACGAAAATTTTTCGTATAGTCACATAGTCACAGGGGGTCCATACGAAATGTCCCGGTATGTGACAAATTTCCCACGAGCCCAAAGAAGCTGGAAAACAGCCTTTTTGGGTGATTTCGTGGCCAAATTCGACATTTTTTGCGGGGGCGGCCGATGCCGCTACTAATTCCCCTTCATGTACTCCCAATTGCCGGGGACTTGTGAGTTCCATACGAAATTTTTCTCCGGTGTCACTGGTCACACTCATGTCATACGAAATGACCCCGGCAAATTTTTTTGTCACACTGAAACCCCCATACGAATTGAATGAAATACCCCAGTATAGACTATATATCAATGGACAGCATCTGAAAGGGACCGAGACTCTGGCTGGTCGAAGACATTGCTATCATCTGACCAATCAGCATCGTACAAACTCAATATGAGGAAGTCATCTGAACGGTGTGAGCCACTTCCAGCCTCCCACCTCTGCAGCGTATATCTAGCCGCCCACGGTTTCCCTGTTACAGATCACCTCGCAAATCTCCGCATCTCTAGTGTGTACGAGGTCATTTGTCTTGAGGTTTCCACAGATCGGGAGCTGGCGTTGATCACTTGGTTTACCACTGTGGAGTTCGTCCTATCACTGGTCGAGTATCCGGCTTTGCGTGATTGTAGGGGAGTTCGAGCATTACGTGGTAAGAATGCGAGCTGTAAATCCATTTTTAATTCAATACTCAAGTATTCTTGCCGTGACAACAGATATACGCCCAAAAAGCCGATCTGGTCGCGAAACAGAGCAGTTTCTTTGTAGTTTGCATCCCCCAGACGATCAAGCCGCACGACGTGGCTAAAGGAACCTAATATTCCCGATGATCGTTCAAAACACAGGACTATGTGCGCGTTCACCGTCCCAGCCAGCAAACATAAGAGCTGAATTTACTGTGTTGACCTAAGAACCCGACTAGGTAGTGCTTGGGAGGAACGAATGAGTCATGACCACGCGTCGCATAATCAATACAATCTTCCCCCCGACAACTTTCCGCAGAGCTTGCAGTGGCCCGGGAGATGAGCACTGAACGCGGAGCGTTGATCAATAGTGGACTTCGAAGATGCCTATCAGAGGAATCCAACGCAAATAGAACCATTCAAAAATGACCTGTTACATCTGGCTAATCCGCGTCCTTTCACAACCATCAAAATCAGAATAGGTGGGACAGTAGTTATCGGGTCCAGTCTGTGCGAGCCGTCTCAGAGTCCATGCTAACCGGCTATAGATATTCATGGTGGCTTTGTACCCGGGTTTTCCTTCGCACGTTCTACATCTCAAAAGAGATCCCTTTGAGTGTTTGCATCCGAGAGAGTCTCCGCATGAGGACTCACCGAACGGCGCAAGCATGTCCTCGCGTCGGAGCAGAACAGTCACGTACATTCATGAACCACCCTCATTACGAGTATGAAGTCATACGCTGTGTTGGGCCTCAATTGTTCAATTCAACCACAAAATGGTCGCGATGTTTATAGACTCATCAGATCAGTGTTTCATTATGGGAGAATGAGAGAGCAGCAACTATCCCAATATGGCGGGCCATGAGACCATTTGGGGCGAGAGCGCATACGATCATCGTCTCATCCAAGCAATGATATTTCAACGAAGTACGTCTATTCATGGTGTATTGGGACGCCTGACCTCCACCTAGCCGTTCACTGTCAATTATAAGCTCCAATATAAAAGGTTCGACCGTTTACTCCAAATGTTGACATCCAGGCCCCCTTCTTACTCAGTGCTCAACATTCACTATGTCCTCGGATGAGTTCGATCACTATGCAGATACTTTTCTCACAGTCCAAGACATCATTGGGGAACCAATTGCGACGCTCTCAGCAAGTTATTCCCCGCTCTTCTTGTCTTCCACGCACTCATCGAAAGGATGACCTTTACCTGCTTAGTCTATGTTTCTTGTGTATGGTGGGTACCTTTCTGATTGGGTCTGTCGCCAAATATTGATTACTCTGTTGGATAGGGATGTATATCATTGTCTTCGGACTTTGTGCCAACATTCTTTACGGTCGCAAGGGCCCGTCTTTTGGATTATATATGACGTGCATTGGATCCTTATTTCTCCTTGCAAACGTATTTGTTGGGATTCAAGCATGGGGAATTATCCATCAGACTCTCGTACAATTCCGTGCCCTGAAAACACGGGACGTTAAGATTCTTGAAGACTACCTGCGACACGATAATGTGGGAACTGCTTGGGTGTGAGTTCACATTACCCCCTGTGCCTTACACTCTATATTCACCCCTCCTCTCTATCCACTATTTACAAATTCTGAGATTACAGAACCGTAACCAACCTGACATCTACTCTGATGAAGTACGTTCTCGACTCTTCCAGCTTGACGTTTAGCTTAATACCTCCTGGAAGCGCAATCGCCGATATCATGCTCGTGAGCAGATCTTTCAGTTGGGATGGAACTTCCCGGGACTAATCATCATCTTTCCAACACAGATTCACCGATGTTACATTGTGTGGGGATCAAGTAGGGTCTTGTTATACATCCTGTCAAGTGTGGCTTTTGCTCTAAACGGTACGTTTTTCAATTTTTCCGCCAACCGTGAACCCGCCTCACTGGATGATGACGCCTGCCTCTATTGATTCAGGAATCCAGCTCGCGGTATCCATAATTTACTCAGTTGGGGTCGCCAATCCTTCCTTCAAATTGCTCTCCTTCACTGCCGGACAAATCGCCATGAGATGTTTGATTGCGACTGCGGTAGGCAATGGCATCTTGTCTATTCTGACTGGTAAGTCGATCCGCAAATCACCGTGTTCATTAACGATAAAGAAGAGCTGTCCATTCGGGACGGCTAGCTTGGCGTATTTGGCGGATAGCGGGAGAAGCACGACGACACATGGGAGTTTTGGTGAATGCGAGATACAAGGCGATGGTCGCTGTCATGTATGTTCATTTATCTGTTATGACCTTGCGGTTAAGATGGCAAAGAATTGACCGTACACGGTAGACTAGAATCTGGGCTGTTGTATCCAACGACCCTTGTAGCTGCGAGTGTCATATCTTTTGTACTGGACCAAGACACTTCTGGTGGGGCTCCCGTCGACCTTGGCGTTGTCGCGACGCTGATGTCGGTGAGTAACTTATGAGTCCCCAACATGCTCAATTAATCTTCTTAACCTTGCAGGGCTTAGCACCCACATTGATTATTGTTCGCGTTGCACATGGTAAATCGGTGGACAGTGTGCCCCAGATGGCCTCCATACACTTTGCAGAGAGGGAAACTCAACCGTGGCCTATTACAAGTGCCGTCCAAGCGACAGTAGATATCCTTCCTCGTACCGGAGTCGAGACTTTGAGAGGTAATGATGCAGAGGTAGTCAAACCTGAACAGAGTGGGTTTCGGGTGGTATAGGAGATCTCCCGCTTTGTTTTATGTTTCTTTTTTCTTGTCGAGAGGGTATACGCATGTGTTTGAAGTCTAAAGTCATTATTATTTCTTGAATATGTGATTTGTTTATCTTTTGGCGAGACTATGGACTGATTTGATCGAGGGGCTTCGCTTCGTCAGGATTCACACGTACTGAAACGCGAAAAGGACAGACGACGGAATAGATGAAGGGAGGAAACGGAATACTTGGGGAAAAGCAAGAGGCTGGTAAGGGACTTAGGCTCGCCGTGGCTCAAAATGAACTTTGTAAATGGGATTGGACACACTGGGAATTGAACCCAGCACCCCCCGCAGTACCTTCGATAAGTGAAAATGCTAAGCGGATGTGATAACCAACTACACCATGTGCCCATATTGATTTGGATAGGTCTTGATTTTGATGCTGCTAGCCACTTCATATATGGGAGGATAGGATTAGAGTGGTGCCATATTCACCAACTCAACCCGGCTGGTCTTGCCGTCTCACAAGCTATAATAATACTGCCAGCATCAACGCAAATAATCCGGAAATCCAACAGTGAATTCTCGATGCCTGAAGTTTCAGAATGGCGCATGATAATAAAGGGGAACGCGATGAATCCTCCCCGCCATTCTACGTATATGTAGCGAGCAACGGATTGTCGAGGCAAATAGCCATTCAACGAAAGCCGGACAATGCACTCGAGGCGTTTCACCGTACATAATTGTGGCCTACCTCTAGCCTTGATTGTCTGCGAGAGTATAAAATATAGTAAACTCCTCTCACAATCATGCCCCTCACGGTGCCTTTGCCGGTGCCTTCCCAGATTAGTATGCATTCTTCCCTTCTACTGGCACCGTTATAACCAAACGCCACGCCGTCTTCATGACCCCGGTGAGGCAGTTGTTTCACCATCGTCAATGCTGAACCGTGTTGTGACGGCTGTGACCATGATACTCTCTCTCTCTTCATGACTCGAATGTGTTGTCCAGCGGAAACTCGTACACCGCGAACGGCGTTACTATTCCGCAATCGCTTACCCCAAGACCAGCAACTGTCTCTTCGTTGGTGGTGAACACCTATCACTCAATTCTGCGAGAGATAAAGGCTGGTCTAAAAACTCAGAAGATGGAAACTATGTGCACTATTGAGGTATATTCTCATATATCTTGTGATAAAGAGCAATTGACTCTGATCAACCCTCGCCTGGATAACTCCCCTCGCAGAATGCCAACCCTTTCCATCCTGGGGATTTAGCGTGAGTGATCTTTTATCCCTCCGTCAGTGATCTCTTTCTCGCCATGCGTTCAATGTTCCGAACGCCTTGGTCTACATAGGTTTATGCTCCAACGACGTCGGACATTCAGTCGACTTCTCAACTTCTAGGCGACCTGACATCTTTGTGGCACGTTCACATAGGGCCTCAACGCCAACTGCCCCACACCGGACGCATTCTGTGTTCCCTCAGATACTCAAGCTCAATAGGCTTGCCAGGACACAACGTGGGTTAAGCCGTTGCGTCGTCTGATATAATTGGAAATGCCATCTTGGATATCACTATCTGCATGAGTTTGAGGATTGTCAATCCGAAAATTTGACCTTAGCTGCCGAACGAGAATCTGTGCGATAGGGGTGCCAAGTGTGTTAAGTGAAAAACACAGGTAAAGTTTTATGCATGGTTTATTGAGTGGGATCAGTTTTTCGTTATCTCAAAGCATTCAAAACGCCCCTATTCCAGCGATATAGCCTGTCGAACTCAAGCCTGAGCTATCAATTTTCCATTCCGCACTACCCACGCATCACGGAGCCGAAGGCCCTTTTTGACATTTACTTATCGTCAAGCTGTCGTCCACCGAGCTCAGACCCGCTTGTACTGTCCCTCGGGGCCTGACAAACGTCCCTCCGGTGCCCCCTAGCCGTGCTGCCATTACCTCTGAGGGTATATGTTTGACAAAAGAATATTACTCAAGCGAGGGAGCTCGTCGACTTTGAGATTGCTCTCCAATCAAGAGTCGAGGGAGGAGGGTGACGTGTGACTCATATGCCATTTTCGACTCCAATTGGCACAAGAAAATTTTTTTCACCCTAACCCTAGCATTGGTGCCTCTGTTCTCAACCGCGATCAGGGATCCACGGCCTTTTCCTTCCGCTCGTCAGACGAAGGAATCACTATGGAGCCAACACGTTTAAGCACCTTGGTATATGCAATATTGAACACCCAGATTACTCTCTTTCTATCCGTGCTGGCACCATTGAAGGCGGATATCTCGTTACTCGGCTCGCGAAACCCTTTTTCGAGAGATGTCGATCCTGCAGTACTGGATCGTCTAGAAGACCGATCAGACCTGTTGGATACGCTTTTGCTATATGATCTGCTCCTCAAGTCATGGTCTATTTTGAGGTTTGTGGATGTAACTATCAATGTCTATTGGCATACTCGGCGACGTCGAGCATACCATGAAGACGACGTTCAATGATTCAAAACTACAAAATCCACATTATTCGAGGCGAGGTACTTGATAGGTATGTCTGCCAGCATATCATGCTTCGAACTCCACGCTCATAGTATCACCCATATCTATGTCATACCATTCGACTGCTTGTACAGTGCCGATTCCTGACGTACGTACCCTCGAGCACTGCTACCTTGCCCATCGGGGGATCTTCAATCCCTTCGCTCAGATTCGAATCCGAGATCTGACAAGAAGTCGTATTGTCGAGACTTACCGGTCGGTGGTATAAACACCTACATCCGCAGGATAAGCTGTCATCTCCATGTTTGCTGTATCACGGGTGACTCAATCATTCCTTTCCTTACAAGTATTTCCGCCACCCTCGAAGTTGTGAATATCCGAGCAGAACATCATTTGGAACGAAGGTCATGTAAGAGACGTTTTATTATACAACGGCTAGCTGCTGATAATTTTGTCATGCTGCAAAGTTGTTGTCGAGCCTGAGGCTTGCCTTTGTGTATGTCCAGTTTCTCTCTCGTTCCTTGATACGCTGACTAATATGCTAGCTGACATTCTCTAGCTACAAGGCCTCCAAGTTACCCTCAAGGTGCGGGCCCGAGTAGACGGACCTTCAATCTGTTTTTGGAGCGCTCGGATTGTGGCGGTGATGTGCCTCAAAGATTCTCGGGAGATGCTCGCCCCAGAATCACAAAGGTGCATGTCCTCTTTCAGGCCGAACATACACAACTGACGTCGTTCTCTCTGTTCCTTTGTCTTCAGGGTTCTCAATATCTTCTCGCGTAAAACTTGAGAGCTTCAACTGAAGGAAAACGGAGGTGAATCCCCAACGGCTGCGGAGGGTACGAGGGGTGTCATGCGGACTCATTCAGTTTGATGAAGAGGTCTGGTTTTCAAGGCGAGCGGGAACTTATATCCGAAGACACCTATTGACTTTGGCCAGCTCTCAGTTCCCTAAGGTGCTCTGGAGTAGTTTACCCGCGGCTGGTGTTCGTCGAAATCTCTTCCTAACCTTTACATTCCACGCATTGAGTACATTCCAAGTCAAAAACATTACTCAGAGCGACTCGGGTGCAGTTAGTGGTTACGCATTTATTGCGAAGTGATTGTTCCATTTTGGATATTCTGGGTGGAGGCGTCGGCCAACCATTTAGGGCTTAGTGCGCGGCCACCAACTACTGAACAATTTGTTGTGTTCCTCAGGACAAGGGATTATTTCCCCATTCCGATTGACAGCGCCAGCATTTCAACGGACTTGAAAGGCAGTCAGCAGGGTTTCGGCTCGGTTCGGTGAACGTGAGACCGGGCCCATCATTACATCAAATGATCTCCAACCCACTGGTACGACGTTTGCGATTCTTCCCGTCATCTTCTGGAGTACGTTCTCAGCTAGTAATTTGTTCCCGAGCTGTCACTATCTAATCTGTATCACCAGGAGCATGATTTCGTGTTATACTTACAACCCATCCGACAATGTGTCGGTTGAAGTATGAGACAGGAAAAGTTCAGGAGTTGAGTAGAGATGAGATTCCAACCGGACCTCATATACATACCCTAGAAAAGGCGAATCGCAATGACGTCGAGCAAGAAGCTTCGGCTGGTCAGAGGTCGAACTCACTCGGTTTTTTGCCAGCGGCTTTGGTACTCTACATCCCGCTGGTAAAGCCTCTTCCTTTTGACCCCCATCTTACTCGCCCAAACATCCTTACTCGACCCTACAGTTTATTCGATTGCCGGGGATCCGAAAAATCCGAGCAGTTACTTAGTTTGTACGCTAGGCATAGCGTATACTCCCAGGGTCATATGGCGAGCATCTTGATGGCGTACCCACGCGAGAAATGCTCTGTCCAAGGTTCAAACTTCCCCGCTTTTCCCTACTATGTCTTTATGCATTGCTTTTCTCTTATCTTCAACCCCGCTTTAGATAATCCCGACTAAGGACCCCGTTGCAGTCTATGAGGCAAGCTTTAGTGGGAAATGACGAAGCTTATATACTAAATCCGGTACCCTGAATGTGAGGGTGAGGTGATCGGCGCCCTTCAATGTCGGTAGCGCCTCATGTCAAAAGCCACGGAATTGACCGATCCGATGCCAGAAATGCTTAGGTCAGGGATGTATCAAAACTGGCGTATTACACTATGTGTTTGAAAAGTTCTCGAGCGGTGGTTCCTACTTAGTATATATCAGGTATGAGGTACAGACGTACCCAGTCGATTCTTCCCCTCTTTTGTCGCCCCCACTTATACGCACGACAAGTGCGATGGGAGAATTGACATCCAACCACCGACACCACGGGGACTATCGTTCCCCAACAATGCCATTGGGAGCGACTCTTGTCTTTCTGATTTGCTGGTCAGTGAATACGCTTGCTGTCGGCTCAATTCACTTCATGCTGTACATAGGGCTAACTAGCGCTCGATGCTGTCTGCAGCTCGGTCCTCTCACTATTTATAGCACGCCGAATGCCCACCACAGTCTCCGAGTGGAAACGACTAACATGGGGGAAGCTATTTTTAGTGCTAGTTCTCGGTCATTCGTACGTCGTTTCATGAGGCGCGCCGTTTGAACCGTTTCCTGATATATGAACCCGCAAACTCGGGGGCTCGATTACCCAGATGGCTGTTCATGTTTCTTAGTGGGTCTCGTTTGATTTGTTGCCTGTTTTACTTCACGCTCTGAACTCCAAATGACCATGACAGCCGGGTTTATGTTGATGGGTGTAGGAACCTATCAGGATCGTTGGAGCTGCTCGATTGTGTTGTCGATTTGCCTCACATTCGGCTGTCTGTTACGGGTGAGCTTTTCGGTTGGTAACTTTTAGCAGGTATATAGCTGACGAGGTTTCCACCCATATAGATCCTAATCTCCGCCTTTTTGGCAGAAATGGTGTGTCTTATCTCTGCACAGAGAGAGCACATGTT